AAAAAAAAAAAAAAAGGATCACTGGTAAAAAGGCAAATCCAAATCTTGGAGCTTATCTGTGAAGCTCAATCTGTTTCATATATCATATTTTTTAACATCAATTTTTTAAAATCTAGAGTAAAAAAATGTAGCTACAACTGTAGAAGCTGTTCACAATGAATTCCAATGTTTCTTATATATAGTAATTGCTATAACTCATATATACTGGAATCACTAAAATATTTTTAATTTATGCAAACCAAATGTTCTTATTAGTGGACCTTTAAGGAGGCTGTGTGGATGAATCTTAGGACATTTGCACCTAGTTTCACAACTACTAATTTGTTTTACATTTTGCTGCAGGTATTTTGAGTGCATTTAGTGTCTGGTTCCAATTGCATTTTTGTTTATTTGCTTTTTAATTTTTTCCTTTATTAGAGGGAAATTGTTTCCCAGAATGGGATGGACTCATTTGTTGGCCCAGAGGAACAGTGGGGAAAATATTGGCTGTCCCATGCCCTCCTTATATTTATGACTTCAATCATAAAGGTATTGAATTTTTCTGCAATGATTAATTTGGAATAGAAATGTACTTTTCCCCCTAATGGATGCCAAGGGAACTGAGCAATCTCAATGTTTTTCTTCGTGTCTTTACAGGAGTTGCTTTCCGACACTGTAACCCCAATGGGACGTGGGATTTTATGTACAGTTTAAATAAAACATGGGCTAATTATTCAGAGTGCCTTCGCTTTCTGCAGCCAGATATCAGCATAGGAAAGGTAATGATATTGGGGTGTCTGGGTGGCTCAGTCGGTTAGGGATCTGATGATTTCGGCTCAGGTCATGATCTCACGGTTTTTAAGTTTAGCCCTGTGTCTGGCTCCACACTGTCAGTGTGTTTGGGATCCTCTCTGTCTGCTCCTCCCCATCCTATCAAAATAAATAAACTTAAAAAAAAAAGGGAAAGGTAATCATATTTTTGTATTTGCAAACCCCTAAGGGAAAACAGAATAATATTTTTATGCAGTTCTTGGTTGTCAACTACTATATGTAAAAACCTTTTTATTCTGGGACACAAAGATTATAAAAGATAAAAGTAAGTTTGGAATCTTTTTAGATATCTAGTTAAGGAAAGGTGTAGGACCTAAAACATTCTGTATTTTCTTTAGGCTAGAGTTATCTGGCTGAGATACAGGCATATATACTAATAAATATGTGTCGGTGTCTATTATGTTATAGCACATTATGTTTATGTTATATTGTATTATGCTATATTACATTATATTATGTGTAAAAATTGAGATAGGTAGTCAGCAGCAGGATTCATGACTTGTTTTGTTACCTATGAATGGTTCCATCTCATTTCACTCTATATTCCTGAAGGAGATTTGTATTTTTAAGATGTATTTTTCATTTCATAAGATTAGCCAGTAGATGATTTCATTAGTATATGAAAGATTAGAGTTGTAGAATTACAGAGCAGCAAGGGCATCCTATAGGTCTTCCAGACGACGCCTTAATTTTACACGTGAGTCAACTCAGAAGCAGAGACTTTGGGTGTTAGATTGACCCAGCTCGCTGATGACAGGATCTAAAGTGGAATCCTGTTCTCCAGATTTCTCATCAGTGCTGTTTACAGTATAGCAATCATATGTAAACTTTGGAAACTTCTAGATAATCAATTTTAAGTGATATATATGCTGTAAAAGTCATGCTTAAATTCCTATCACTCAGCCCTCGTAAGTAAAATTCTTGACGTATATGCATATGATGTTAGGAGTGAATATGATAAATGGATGTATAAATTATTTCTATGGTGGACCTGAGAACAGTCTATAATACATAAACTGCCAGCATTAGACATTTTTCTTTATGCTTCATTTTTTTTTTTTTTTAGTCGGGGGTGGTGAGTAGGGAGAGCAGGAAGGGAAGCGGTGAGTTGAAGATGTCTTTGATTTTGCACTACTAGGATTTCCTTTCTTAACTTTCTTCTTTTCTGACACATAGTGCTATCACCTTAATGAACTCTAGTAAGTTGCTGAAAGAACTTCAGCTTTATATTTCATTGTTGACAAGCTTCTTGCATAAAATTAGTCAATGTGAGGAGATGGTGTATTCCACTATGGAGCTAAAACTAACAATGAGTTAATATTAAATGCTTCAAAATAATTTTAATTTCATTGACACAAGTAAACAGTATTTACTGTGATGAATTTATTTGTGCATTAAATGATGATGCAAATCTTCCACAGGTTTTAAATGGCCATTCAGTTAAATCATGGTTTTATTTACACTGAACTCTACCCTTACAACCACTCTTTGTGATTACTATATATTCCTACAACCAAAGTAGCCAAGGATGGTAATACACCCAACTATGTACTAGTTCATGTGAAAATGATCTAAACATTAGCTGAGGAGCACTTGGGTGGCTCGGTCAGGTAAGCATCCAACTCTTGATTTTGGCTTAGGGAGTGATCTCCAATGTTTGTGAGTTCGAGCCTCATGTTGTGCTCTGCACTGACAGTGGGGAGCCTGCTTGGGATTCTGTCTCCCTGTCTCTCTGTTCCACCCTGATTGCTATCTCTCTCAAAATAAATAAAAAATAAGCTTAAAAATTAACTAAAAATCTTGATGAATTTTGTTAGCATAAATAATTTTATCTCCTTAATTAAAAATATAAAGAGTGTTTTCTATTGTTTACAACCTTTAAGCAATAATTTGAGAAAACTTAAGAAAACTAAATATCCCCTACTAAGAAAACTGGATATCTCCTGAAGTTTTGATATACTCTAGGGCAAAGTGATATTACTTATTTATGAGGTATTAATTCTTAATGGTTGTAAGGAGAGCTTTTTATAAGGAATAAGAAGTAAAAACCAAAAGAGTGTGCATTAAGAATAAACATTTCTATTGAGGAAAATAAGATGAAGATATTTTACACATCTATTGTTTTGTTCCTTAAATAATTTCCTTATTGTTGGCTTGACAAAATGAGACAGTTACTATTAGTAAAAAGATGGGAAGGAACTCTTATGATAAGCCGTAAGGTTATTAAATTTTTGAGAGTATTATACTTAAAATAGTAGTATACTCTAAAAATTACCATATAATACATCTCATTTCTAAAGGCTAAATGAACTTCTGGGAAGCAATTTAGCAATATATATGAAAAACACTTCAAAGTGGTCATAACCTTTCATCTTATAATGTTATGTCTAAGGTTCGAGTATAAAGATTTGGACTGGGGGGAATTGAATGGACAAAATGTTCATTGAACCACTAATTATTATAGTGAATATTCTGAAGAATATAAGTTTTCAGTGAAGCACCTTCCAGAGGTGCTTATATATTATAAGCTTATATTAAATAAGCTTATATAAATGTTTTTTATAAAGACTTTGTGGCCTTAGGAAGTTCCTTTGTTATACAGTTCACAGAAAAAAAAAAAACAGGTAATAAAGTTGTATGTATATTAAGAATGTAGATGTTCAAAACAATAGAAAATGCTTCATAGAGATAGAATGAAAAGAAATACACAAAATACAATGCTTCTTTTTGGTTGGTAGGAATTCAGGAGATTTTTGCTCCCCTCTCTTTTATATTTTACACATTATCCAAATATTTTCTATAGAAGGTTTTAATATTTTATTAATTGATAATAAAATGTAGTAAACATTTTTAAAAAGGAACAAGAGGCAAAATCTTTTGTTTCCAGTTAGGATGTAGGAAGCTGTAGGATGTAGGAATATATTGAATAAGATGCAAAATTGTTAATTTGTAATAACTCATGATGAGCTACGGATGCCAAGAACTCTAAATGATCCTAATTCTGCAAGTGGGAAAGCCCTTCCTATAAGAGACCTGTGACTGCTGTTTATCGCTGGGTTTGTAGCAGAAGAAGAACAACCACACCATCGAAGGGGACAGAAAGAAAAGAGCCAGGCTTTTAAACCAACTTTTAACAGACAAGGGTTGGCACGAGGGCTTAGATTTCCAAGAAGTGAGCCACATTCACAGTGAGCTTTCACCCAGCAACCAGTTGTTTCCCATGGGGCCTCACTGAGTGTGTGGAGGCTGTGTGCCAAAGGCTGGGGGTAGCACAAGTGGGCTAAAGGAAATCCCCCAAGAGTGTATAGGGCTCTCAGAATGAGAGGCAGCAGTTAGCCAAAGGCATAGGACAGAACAGAGGCCCCGTGGGGCCTTCACTAGATGCATAATTGTACAGCCCATATGCCAGGGAAGGGCAGGAGAGCAAAGCAAGATCGCTAGCAACTCAAAATGCCGACGGATGGTTCAAATAGCTGCACAAGTTCTGTGGCTTGGAAAATGTCAAGTGTGCTAAAATCCATATAATGGCCACTAGAGGCTGCTGGTGCTAAGATCTCCAGGTCTGCTGAAGGAATCTTGATTCTGCTCTCGAAACCTAAAACCAGGATAAAAGGAATCACAAAAAACATAAAACAAAAAACTACAGCAGAGCTCAACTCAGCTTAGCAACAGAGTAACTCAGCCTCCCTAAAGAGCCCTGACAGAGGAAAAGGCCTGCCCTTTTCAGGCTGTTACCATCTTATACTTTAGTACCTGTTATTCAGTTACTTACGGGGCCTGGAATGTAACACAAATTATAAGGCAGGAACCCAAAATCTCTAGTAAAAATAACAGCAGAAAAAAACCCCAGATGATCCAGATGTTGGAATTTGCAGATGAGTACTTAATAATAACTATTAGAAATATGTTAGATGATTTAGTGAAAAAGGTACATAACAGATGGAAAAATCAGATAAATAAAAACTTTAAAAAATAACAAATTCTAGGGGTGCCTGGGTGGCGCAGTCGGTTAAGCGTCCGACTTCAGCCAGGTCACGATCCCGCGGTCCGGGAGTTCGAGCCCCGCGTCAGGCTCTGGGCTGATGGCTCAGAGCCTGGAGCCTGTTTCCGATTCTGTGTCTCCCTCTCTCTCTGCCCCTCCCCCGTTCATGCTCTGTCTCTCTCTGTCCCAAAAATAAATAAAAAACGTTGAAAAAAAATAAAAAAAAATAACAAATTCTAAAATTGAAATATTCAGTTCAAAAATGAATTCATTTGATATTCAACAACACACTGGATACAGCATGGTAAAGGATCAATGCACTTAGGGGCGCCTGGGTGGCTCAATAGGTTAAGCGTCAGGCTCTTGATTTTGGCTCAGATCATGATCTCAGGGGATCATTACTTTGAGCTTCAAGTCGAGCTCTGTGCTGACAGTATGGAGCCTGCTTGGGATTCTCTCTCTCTCCCTCTTTCTACTCCTCCCCCACTTGCTCTCTCTCTCTCTCTCTCTCTCAAAATAAATAAGTAAACTTAAAAAAAAAAAGAAAATCTTAAAAGCAGAAAAAGAAAAATGGCACATTATATCCAAGGGAATAGCAATAAAAAAGATGCCTGCCTTTTAGTCAGAAACAATGGAGGCCAGAATACAATGGGATAACATCTTTAAAGTGATCACATGCATTAAGATAAAAGTAAGAAAATGATGCATTGCAGACAAAAAATATGAGAGAATCTTTCTCATACCTTCAGTATAGGAAATAGTCAAGAAAGTTCTCTAGGGTAAAGAGAACTTTACCAGACGGGAGCATAGATAGGTAGGAAGGAATGAGAGGTACCAGAATGGGTATAAATGTGGATAAAAATGACAGACTAGGGGCACCTGGGTAGCTCAGTCGGTTAGGCGTCTGACTTTGGCTCAGGTCATGATCTCCCAGCTCATGAGTTTGAGCCTCATGTCGGGCTCTGTGCTGACAGCTCAGAGCCTGGAGCCTGCTTCAGATTCTGTGTCTCCCTCTCTCTGCCCCTCCCCAACTTGCTCTCTCTCTCTCTCTCTCTCTCCCTCAAAAATAAATAAACATTAAAAATTTTTTTTTAAATGACAGACTAAATCAATAAACAAAACTATTCTTATTTATTGCTGTTTTATATCTAATCTTTATATCTGTGTCTATAATTTAATTCATTTAAAAGTCTATTGACTGCTTAAGGCAAACATAATAGTCTCTTATTAGGGTTTATAAATTATGTAGACAAAATCTAAAAGGGACATAGTCTGGGAAGCAAAATTGAGTATACAATTGGAAACTTTAGTTTGTGAGATAGTTCAATATTATGTAATGTAGGCTCTGATGAGTTCCAGATGCATAATTGCTAAAAAATAACACAAGTGCAGTTTTAAGAAATAATTGGACCTCCACTCCACAAATGGAAGGTAAAGAAGTAGGTATAGAGGAACGAAGAAAAGGTAAGACATCCAGAATGCAAATACCAATGTGTTATATTTAAACCCAACCTTAGCAATGATTGTATTCAATGTAAATGAAGTAAACAGTCACTTAAAAGGCAGAATGGGTAATAAAAGTATGGCTTAATTATATACAGTCTTAAAGAAATGTACTCTAAATAGAAAGATACAGATGAATGTGAAGATAATAGATTTGTTGATATCAAAAGGGGGGATAAGTTATATGCAGAGCATACCTTAAGCATAAGAGAGTTGGTGTGACTAACTAGACTTTTTTTTTTAACCAAACAAAATTTTATTTGTTTTTAAAGGTTCTTTTCTCCTCACTCTGCATTTGACCTTGTAGCCTCCCAAATGGTTGACACATATCTATGGGTAAAGACCCAGCACAAATTCATGCTGAATGTGTTTATAGTCAGGGTTTTTTTCAGACACATTTTTTTAATTTATTTTATTTTATTTTTTAAATTTATATCCAAATTAGTTAGCATATAGTGCAACAAGGATTTCAGGAGTAGGTCCCTTAATGCCCCTTACCCATTTAGCCCATCCTCCCTCCCCAAATCCCTCCAGTAACCCTCTGTTTATTCTCCATATTTAAGAGTGTGACTAAGTAGACTTTAAGACAGTATTATCTATGTGGAAGGACATATAAGAATGATAAAAGAATCCATTTGCCAGGAGGAAATAACAATCCTAAATATGCATGCATCTAGGGGCTTCATAAAACAAAAATTGTCAAAGCTAAAGGGAGACATCATCAAATCCCATCATATTGGAATTTATAAAAATGCCATTCTGTCAGTAATTGGTAAAACAACTAGGTAAAAACTTCCATAGAATATCTTTCAAATAATTTGATTAAAATGACATTTATAGAATACAATAGCCAAACACTACAAAATTCACATTCACATTCACATTGATTAAATTCACATTTAATCAAATAATTTGATTAAAATGACATTTATAGAATACAATAGCCAAACACTACAAAATTCACATTCTTTTAAATTACACACCAAAGGTTCAAGTGTCAATAAATCTCAAGATTAAAATCATACAGAGTCTATTTTCTCAACACAAAAGAACTAATTGAATTCAACTAAAATAAAATATGTAGACAGTTGACAATATGTGTTGGAAATATGTGACCCATGGCAAAAGTTTAAACTGAATAATTATCAAAGCTGAATATATCAAAAATTGGGGGAAACAGTAAAAACAGAGCTTTTTTATAGCATTCAATGCTTAATTAGAAAAGAAGAAAGGTAACCATTCAATAATCAAAAGTTCCACATTAAACTGTACACAGTAATACCTACAACAAAAGGAGACATCAAAATGGAATTCTACAAAATTTTCAAGTAACCCCACAGCGTGGCAGGAAAAATAAAACAGAGAAATGAAAAATAGAACAACAGAAAACAAAAAAAATAAAATAATGGACTTAGCCTTAACATATCAATATTATATTTGAAAAATGGTTTAAATATACCAATTAACAGAGATTGAAGAAATCTATTAAAAAACACGATCCAAATGTATGCTGTTTACAAAGTTTGGAACATTTCAAATATAATGCTATACATAGGTTACATACGTACCATACAATACTATTTGGCATAAGAAAGAACAAACTTGATACATGCAACAGCTTGAATGGATCTTGAGGTCATTACTCTGAGTGAAAAAACCAATCTCAAAAGGTCTCACACTGTATGATTCTATTTCTATAACATTCATGGAATTACAAAATTTTTTAAACTTAAAAATTTTTAAATATTTATTTTTGAGAGAGACAGACAGAGCACGAGTTGGGGAGGGGCAGAGAGAGAGGGAGACACAGAATCTGAAGCAGGCTCTAGGCTCTAAGCTGTCAGCACAGAGCCTGAACGGGGGCTTGAACTCACAGACCGTGAGATCATGACCCGAGCCGAAGTCGGAGGCTTAACCGACTGAGCCACCCAGACGCCCCTGAAATGACAAAATTATAAAGGTAGAAAACAGATTAATGGTTGCTAGGTGTCAGGGATGCTGGGGAAGAGGGGGGTAAATGTGACTCTAAGGGACCCCACTCTGTGGTGGTAGAATAGTTCTGTATCTTGATTGAATTGCTGGTTACAAAAATTTACATATGTGGTAAAATGATGTAGAATTATAAACACACACATTGCACCATGTCAAATTTCTGCCTTTGACATTTTAGTATAATTACGTTAAGATGTAACCACTGGGGGATACTGAGTGAAGGATACATTGGACGTTTTTTACTATCTTTTCCAGTTTTTGTGAATTTATAATCACTTAAAAAAATTAAAAAGGAATGGATCATTGATTCATGTAACAATATTGGTGAATATAAAAAACAGTATGTTGACAAAAACAGTATATACTATTTAATTCTTAGTCTAAGAACGGTCAAAAAATACATGAAGCACATGAACAGATGATGCCAATTTGTGATGACAGAAATTGGAACAGTAGTTACAAGGGGATGAATGGTGGGTGGGTTTCTGGACTCTCAAGGGGCACAGCACAGCTGGTTTGTCAAACCCATCAAACAGTTCATTTGAGATCTGTATTTTATGTAAATGACAGCTCAATAAAAACTTAAAGAAAGCTAGAAATAGTATTCCAAAAATGACATCGTTTTTACCAGTTTCCTCTTAGAATAGCCATGTAATATGTGTTTTGTTTACTTCAAATATCACATTAGATATACAGCTCCACTAATTAAAGTGGACAGCACAAAAATTCATGAATATTGCAACATTTAATTTTCCCTCAATTAAGCAAGAAATGTCAAAGATTATTATATCTTTAACTCTGACTTGAATTTAGGAAGTAAAAGAAAGATCAGATGGATAATCAATGTTCTGTAAATGGGATAACACATTGCCTGTCTGTAAACAGGGGAAGACATGATTCTTAAGTTTATGCACATCTACTTATTTGTTGAAACCTGTTTTTCTAATTAAATCTCTTCCCCTTCAGCAAGAATTCTTCGAACGCCTCTATGTCATGTACACAATTGGATATTCTGTCTCCTTCGGTTCCTTGGCTGTGGCTATTCTCATCATTGGTTACTTCAGGTGAGTGATCCCTTACCCCTTTTTCTGTGAAGGGACAGGTTCTGTTTCCTATGTATAGAAGATGTAAAGGTGTCAAAATTTCTGCCCCCAAATATTTTTCTCAGTGCAAGTTTTTGAATTCAGCCTAGTGTTATGATATCATTTGGCTTTGAAGATTTATTTTTATGAGGAAATTCAGGGTTTTTGTTTTTGTTATTGTTTAAAAACTAAAAAAATCTTTAAAAGCATCAAAGCAGTATGAAACCAGTAAGCCAACAGATCTGCAGGACAGTGTATTGTTTGCAAAGTGATGCATGCAAAGTGGAGCAGAATGAGTTACAAAAATTTTCATTCCTGGTGCAAAGACTTCATTTTTCCCAAATGATTTTCGTGCCATTGGACAGAAATTCATTTAAAATGATTTCCCAAATTATCTGATGAGATAATCATATTTATTGCTTCTGTTGTGGTTTATTTTTTATCCACTGGGACTTTTGCCCGATTCAATTCAACTTAATCTAAATCAATACAAAATTTTGAGCACCAGTATGGAGATTAAACAGTGCACAGCATGTATGGGAAAGGTATACTCATGATGTTTGCAGCTAGTTTGTGACTCAAGTAGCTGAGAAAACAACTAGTATACAGTGTGAGAAGTGCTATGATTCAGGTGGTGGATGGTAATTTGGGAGGGCAGAGTAAGAAGAGGAGGAAAGACCTCCCAAATGAAGTGAAATCTCAAAAGACACAGGAGTATAAATAAGATTTAACCAAAAAGGACCATTGGGGAACAGAGTTTATATCAAGAAAAGATTATATCAGGAAAAGCATGGAATATTTGAGAATTCAGAGTTGTGGTGTAGGTAAGTGATGGGCAGTGAGTGAGACAGGAGAGGTAAGCATGGTTGAGGATGTTTTGAGACCTGAAGGTTATATGAAGAAATTTGAACTTTATCCAAAGACCAATGAGGAGCCATTGAAGAATTTTAAGCCGAAGAGTGACATGAAAGGTCACTTGTAAGGTGGAGGGTGAGTTGGTGGGGAGCAAGATAGGAAGCTCATTTGGAAAAGGCTGTCAGAATAACTCCGGACAAGAAGATTGTGGCCTGGCCAACAGCAGTGGCTTTGAGGATTGGCTAGAAATGGAAGGTTTTGAGGTACATTCATTAAGACAATACGATTTTAAGAATTTAGTGCTAAGTTGTGTGTGGGAAAAGAGATGAAGGTAGATGACATATTTAAACAACAAAATGTTTTATGCTTTGTTTCTGACCATCTTACAATCCCCTCTTCCTTGAAAGTTCTCATATGTATTTCCTGTTTTGTCTTTCTCTTTTGATTTATCATTATCTAATGTACTATCTGATGTTTTACTTATCTTTTTATTTATCTCTTCCTCTAGAATGTAAAGCTACATACGAGCATTAATTTTTTTCTGTTTGCTCATTGTAGCATTCTTAGTAGCTGCAATGTACTTGATATGTAGTGGTGCTTAGTAAATATTTGTTGAATTAATAAATAAATGACTAGTTTAATATTCCAACTACTTCTTCTAAAATGATTACTCCTATTATGGTAGTATAGTTTACATTTTCAAAACTTTTTCTTTATTGATTCGCTAGTCCATCTACTCAACAAGCATTTTTCTCTACCATATGATAGACTGTTTTTAGTACTGATGGAGGACAAGTTAAGATATGTTGCAGACTGGAAAAGGAGTATATACACCATTGAGAGAGACTGACTCATTAAATGATTATCAAATCAAATAATGTTAATACTATAATACAGGTTTTTATAAAGGGTATTGGGAACACCAAGGAGCTAGTCCAAAACTGACTAGATGACAGAGAGAGACTTCCCAGAACAATTGACATGTGAACTGATATCGCAATGATGAGAAGGAATTCAGTACATTCCAGAAGATGGGAACGGAATGTGCAAAACTCAGAGACAGGAAGGAGCAGAGTAGATGCTGGGAACATAGAAGAGTCCAATGTGAAGGCAGCATTTGATTCATAGGGAGAAGTGGCCAGGTAGTAATGGCCAGGAAGAAACTAGATTTAGTGGCACTGGGTTTTGCAGGCCCTTGTCAAAGGCTTTGAGTTTTGTCTTGTAAGGGTAGAGAATAGGGAGCTAATGAAAATTTTAAAGTAGAAAGGGAACACAATAAGATCTGTAAAATTATGAAGCGGTTCTCAAAACAGCCTTGTGAAATTGGCTTGGCAGTATTATCCCATTTTAGAGACCAAGTAACTGAAGCTCAGTGTCCAAGGTCACAAGGTCACAGGTGGTCCAGTTGGAAACAGAACCTTCATCTTCCAACTCCTATCCAGAGTCCATTCCATTATACTAAGTGTAGCTCTGGTTGTTTAGAATAATAGGTGAATATTTATGAGGAAAAAAGCTACATAGAATTTCGGGAGGATACAAATCACTAAGTAGTAATTCTTCAATTTACATGGTAATTTATTACTCTATTTAACAAATTCTTTCTAGATAGTACTTTTTATACAGCTACTGTATTGTATAGAATGGTATACAAAAATTTGAGAAACTCTGTCTCACAAAACAAAGTACTTTTTTATAGGATAGTAAATCATGTTGAGTCTTCTAAAAGTCAATACCTATTTATACACTCTGATGGCACTATTCTCAGTCAGTGGTTTCCACAGACACCTGAAAACCTATCTGGTCAAATCCCACTTGCTTGTGAACAAACTCTCCCAAAAGAATCAGTGAGGAGGACTATCTGGGCAGAAAGGACATGCATACATGTCCCTAACATCCTAACAAAACACTTCCAAAATGTCCAAATTTAGCTCATTCTTATTTGGCCTACCCCCTCCTATGTTATGAAATATAAAAATATGTTATTGGATTAAAAATGTCTTGCTACCTTACCTTTGTGTACTTTGTCTTTTCTGTAAGAGAAGTAGGATTGTGTCCATTGTACAGGGAGATTGTACTGTCTCACAGTCAAGCAATGGTAGAGCTGAAGCAGATTATACATCCTTTCCTAAGTGTCGTTTTTTTTTCTCCATCAAACTTAAAAAAAAAAGGTCTCTTTTGGAGTTAGCTTTTTGCAAAGGAAATTAGTAGTACGGTACCTACTTCTAAGTAAGTTATGACTTGTGTCTAAGATTCTTTTATGAACTCAAAGCTTTTTCTATTAAAGTAAGCTTGTTTACTCTTTAACATTACTTGGAAATAAAGTTGTGTAATGCTAGCAAAATATTTTACTTTTTCTTACAGAGAATGTATTGAAAATGTGAAAGTTCCACTGTTAATATTTATCCCTTTTCAAAATGGTTCTTCATTAACCATTTATTACTTTAATATATAGTTTAGTATAATGCTACAGTATAATATAGTATAATAATTAACTGCTAGATCAGAAGAAACATGGTAGCAGATCAGGATAAATTTGAAATCATTATCTCAAAAAGTTACATTTTAGTTTTTGATCCCAGTTGTTTCTATTGGAAATATATAGTAATGGGTTTCTGTCTTTGTTCACACGTACTATATTTTATCCTTTTGTGGAGGAGTGTGGGCTCATTTATGTATTTTCTTTCCCCATTTCTAATTTCATCCAAATCGAAGTACTGAATTTTTTTTTTTCCATAGACGATTACATTGCACTAGGAACTATATCCACATGCACCTGTTTGTGTCTTTCATGCTGAGAGCCGTAAGCATCTTCGTCAAGGACAAAGTGGTCCATACTCACATAGGAGTAAAGGAGCTGCAGTCTCTGGTAATGCAGGGTGACCTGCAGAGTTCCATGGAAGTGCCTTCTGTGGACAAGTCACAGTATGTAAGTGTTTTCACCATCTTCTCTCATTACTGATTCATGTAACGTTATAGATATGTTACATTTTATAGTCCACTAAATATTAACTTGTTTGGGCTTATCTCATCTCTGAGTTAACAAAAATAGATGACCAATTTGTATAATGTTTACTACCTCAGTTCTGTCCTCAAGCTTCACACCTAGTTACTCATCATTGTAGACTATTAAAAGTGTTTGGGCTCTTTCCTCCAGAACATTCTGGCATGGAAACATCAAAAATCACATGACTGGAGTGCATTTGGTGTATGGCTTCTAGCCGCTGTCGTGGCTTTCAAAAGTAAAAAGCCCACTTGCAAAACCAGAAGTGTGGGATTTAAAAGCCCACAACATTTAGTTTCTTTATTGTAGACTCAAAGACTTGTTCAAATATAAGACGACAGAGTACTTGATTCTGTTCTCAAATGTCCCGGGGTTATTTAGTGACCAGAATCACACAATATATTACACAATAATTCAGTTAATTAGATCACTGATGCAATATATCTGGAAATCAAGGATACTAGTTTATATGCCTTGATGGTATGAATTGATACCTTTTCTGTGTCTTTGGCCTTTGCCCTGTAACTTTGTAGGCCCTCCTGATTCTGATTCTGGGCTGGCTTTGTGACTTGTTTTATCCAATAGGATGAAGTAGACGTGGTAGTGTGACAGTCGAGGGTAGAGCTCTGTGAGTGAGCCCAGCCAAGATTAGCTGAACCTGGCCCAGATCAGCAGAATCACGTAGTCAGTCCACAGAATCATAAGATGTATTAAATGTTTATTGTTTTAGCCATTGACTTCTGGGGCATAAAAAAGACAAGAATAAAATAAACTTATGGTAGAATAATGGCTAATATTTCTTCTTTATGCTCTTCTGTACTTTCCTAATTTTTTCTGATGATTAAGTCTTATTTTGATAAACAGGAGAAATTAAGGAAAAGTGATTTTTTGGTAACTTCTAATCTTATTTTAAAAAAATAGAATCAAGCCCATAGTCTTAGAGATGCGGTCTTAAAATAACTTTGTTCTCTCTTCCAGCAGTCTTGGCTTTCCTAGACACAGGAAATAGATTATAAAAAAGAAATGGAGAACTGCTTTTTGGTGGTCTGATATTGCATCTAGCACAGTTTAGGGTTCTAATATGATGCAATTCTGGTTTATTTGTAACAGATTGGGTGCAAGATTGCTGTTGTGATGTTTATTTACTTCTTGGCTACAAATTACTATTGGATCTTGGTGGAAGGTCTCTACCTGCATAGTCTAATCTTTGTGGCATTCTTTTCGGACACCAAATACCTGTGGGGCTTCACCTTGATAGGCTGGGGTAAGGTATTTATGTCTCCTTTCCATTTAAACTGGATTGTGGATTTGAGGACTTTCTGTTAAGCCTATCCTTAGCATACTTTCAGCCATTTTCCTGAAATCTCTCCCCATTTTATCTTTATACCTCCTTTTTTCTCTTCCATTGTTCATTGGGGAAAGTTATTAAGATCAACTCTGTAAGCCCCTCAGTGGTAAGAAACTTTTCGTGTTTAACTTATGGTTGGTGTTCTTAGGCCAGATTCTTGAGAGAATTCTTTGGCAGGAATATAAAAGACCACATTGTTAGCCATAGACATTTAGAACTGCTATGCTCATGTCTTATGTCAATGTCCTGATTTAGCAATAATTTCATTCTAAATATTTTGATTTTTAAATTTCGAAACTGTACTGATACATCATTGGTAAGTTGGTGAGAATTCCAGGAAGGAATTTATGAGATTGCATCTCCATTGCATTTAATGATACAAATTACAAGCTAATTATGTGGACTTATCACATCTTTTGGAAAAAAATATTCAAATTACTTTATGCATATGTAATTAAAAAAAAAGGATAATCAGCTCACATTCCAAAAATGCCTTATCAGTACTAGACTGGACTAGGCACTAACTCAACATGACATGGGGAAAAGGATGTTGCTTTTTTGTCCAAATTTAAGAGAACTTAAAACTCTTATGTGGCTGCAATTAAGAAACCTCATGATCAACAATTGCAGATCTCAATTGTTATTTTATTTTATTTTTTTAAAGCTTATTTATTTTGAGAGAGAGAACACACACACACACACACACACAAACGCAGGCGCGCGAGAGTGGGGGAGGGGCATAGATAGAGGGAGAGAGAATCCCAAGCAGGCTCCTCACTGTTAGTGCAGAGCCCTATGTGGGGCTTGAACTCACAAACCGTGAGATCATGACCAGAGCTGAAATCAAGAGTTGGACGCTTAATCGACTGAACCACCCAGGCGTCCTTCAATTGCTGTTTTAATATTCAGATTATGAGGTGCTTGGCATTGGAAAAAAATTAACTAGGTGGTTCAAGATTACATTTGAAGGGCTTTTTTTTTTCCTTGTCCAAAATAAGAATATTTCTTTGCTTGTTTTGCCTTAATATTGTTTTAACATTTGAAAATGTGAAGTAAGGAATATTGAATTTCCTGCTAGTTAAGGAATAAGATTTAAGAAAGCAAAGGGTCTATTTACTATAAAATTTCATTTATTATGAAATGATTGTTGTGAATAAAGTTTTATTTCTGAAGGCAGCTTGTCTGTTTTAAAGCTCTCCCTTTGACTACCAGTTACTAAAAATAAAAAAAAGATGCCATTTTATTTTTTTAGAGTACTTTGGAAATTTCCTCAATAGTGTTTGGCAGTTTGCCTTCAAATCAAAATTACATCTGTGTACGTACATAATTACTAGAAGTTGTAAAGGTGTTGATAGAAAACATTTGTCTGAGTTACATTTTATATTTTGGATTTCAACACCACTGGTCACACATAATAAATTCTTTTTTCTCTGTTTACTTATTGGTTTGATGGTTAACTCCCCTATTAACTCTTATTTGGTGAGGGGCACCTAGGTGGCTCAGTTGGTTAAGCCTCCAACTATGGCTCAGATCAACATCTTGCAGTTTGTAAATTTGAGCCCCGTGTCGGGCTCTGTGCTGACAGCTCAGAGCCTGGAGCCTGCTTGGGATTCTGTGTCTCCCTCTGTGCCCCTCTCCCTCTCACTCATGCTCTGTCTTTGTCTCTGTCTCTGTCTCTCTCCAAAATAAATAAACATTAAAAAATTTTTAAAAAACAGAATTTTAAAAAACAGTCCAGTGAGCTTCCATGCAAGTATGAATTTCATACCTTCCTTTACAACTCTTACTCAATTGTCCACAAGAACTTTGACATTGGAATTATACCTACAGTAGAGAAGCATCATTACTTGAAATCTTCTTTTTATCAAATGGTTTAAGAACAAACATGAAATCAAGTAGGCTTCACATGGAAACTTTCTTTGAAAAGCATTTTACATGGATATGTCATGTGCACTTAACCACAGTCTGAAACACTAATAACCAATCGTTATAGAATTACAGTTCTCCACTTAGTCTACCTTCTGACTCTCTTTGCAACTCCATTAAAAAAAATGCTCTAACCCTCAAAATGCTCTCCTCATTGTCACTCGTCTTGCTTGTTCAATAATATATAATAAAAAAAATGCTCTAGTCTAGGGCATATATAATTATAGGTGTATATTTTTAAAAATCTCTCTCCAATACTTAAATGCAGTTACCATTTAATGAAGTAAATGACTAAGACCATTTAAGTGATAGACTATTTTTCCCTTAGCGCTGACAGTCTGATTGGAAAATATCATTTTTATTTCTGACTCATTTTTCTAAATTCCTATAAGAAAAACAATGATCAACAACATTATAGCTGCTTTGCAGGATCCTTGGCTGGAAATAGTTTAGGGTGAATCCAATTTTGTGCTTTCTTCCACTGATGTGACTTATGAGCTTCATTAGAGAAGAGAACTTGCTTGGATTCCTATGTTACTCATTGGACCCAGTCATTATAACTTTAAGCTCTCTTTGGCTAAATAAATACTCAGAACATTATTGCTCACATTATGGTGATGTGTGCAGCTCTATCATTTACATTGATTTTGCTGATTCTTAAGAATAAATTGGAAAGGAAGGAAATTACAGTCTAAAGAAGAAGAGATGCCATATCTGACCTTTAGTAAATTGAAGGCAAATGTTTAAAATAACTGTTTTTACACATCTTCATCACAAAACAAGATGTATACCAAGGAGTAAAGGCAAATTCTGATGATGACTACATTTCTTTTCTTTCAACCAACCACATTTGTAATTTTTCCTATTCCTGCTTCAGTTTTCTCATAAACTGGGCGCTTTATTCTTGGTTCCATTTTGTTCTTTCATGAATGCATTATTTTTCTATATATTTAATTCTATATTGAAAAGGTATCAGTCTTATTCATTCATCCTTATTGAATGTAGTCATTTACCTCTATAGTAGCAACCATTCTTTTTTTTAAATTTTTTTTTAATGTTTATTTATTTTTGAGAGAAAGAGACAGAGCATGAGGGGGAGAGGGACCGAGAGAGAGGGAGACACAGAATTGGAAGCAGGCTCCAGGTTCTGAGCTGTCAGCACAGAGCCCGATGTGGGGCTCGAACTCACGAACCGTGAGATCATGACCTGAGCTGAAGTCAGACACTCAACTGACTGAGCCACCCAGGTGGCCCTAGTAGCAACCATTCTTAATTTTCAACTGTTAGATAAGGTGCCAGGATGTACATATTATCATATAAGATCACCTATCCTGGTTCTACCAATTAGTCATGTCTCTTTTGCCAAGCTTTCATGTAGAATATTTTCATATTCTGTATTCTCTGAAAATAATCAGGAGAATAGTCTGTATAAGCTGATGTCAATTCAGCAAATATTTTTTTGATTATCCAGTTGGGAGTAAATATAATTGAAATACAGAGATATGTCGTAAAGACTACACAAGAAACATGCAGTCTGACCAGTAGGTCATTTTGTTTTGTGTTTGCCTGTTCTGATCAGATGTATTATATTCAAAATATTTGATCTATAAGACCTGTTCTCCACAAAAATTATTTTTGTAGTCAAATGATACCTTTACACAATTAAAAATCTAGAAATGCCATTTCTCCCATCCTTCATGATTTTTAATTCCCTTATTATTTCTACTGAAGATTGTCTTAAAATTACATTTAACAGAGTCAATAAAAGATCTATATTTTAGCCTTACCTTATGTAAGGTACAGAACAAGGTTTTCAGATGTAATTTGAAGTTTTACTCCTAACCATTTAAAATTACAGGCGCCTGGGTGGCTCAGTTGGTTAAGCTTCCGCCTTCAGCTCAGTGCACAATCTCATGGTTTGTGAGTTCAAGCCCCACGTCGGGCTCTGTACTGGCAGCTTAGAGTCTGGAGCCTGCTTCGGATTCTATGTCTCCCTCTCTCTGTCTCTGCTCCTCCCTGGCTCTCTCTCTCTCTCTCTCTCTCTCTCTCTCTCTCTCTCAGAAATGGGTAAACATTAAAAAAAATTAAAATTATGTGGATGATTACCTCTTTAAAAGAAAACAAATTATGGTCAAGTTTAGATTTCCGTACATAGCGATTATGTAGGTTTATCTCAGTGGGTTCACCTGGTTTTAAGATTTCACCTCATCTCCACCAGTTTGACCTACAGTTTCTGCCCACTGGCAATATTTAATTCAGTAAGCATATTTTCTTTTTTATTGTAACTCTTTTATTTCAGACTGTCCTTTCCTGCAGTACATTACTGCATTTTTTTGGGTTATAATAAAATATATTTTTATATATATTTAGTAATAATATATATATATATTTTAATTTTGTTTAAATGTTTTTATTTTAAAAAAAATGTTTTTATTTATTTTTGAGAGAGAGAGAGAGATAGAGCATGAGCAGGGGAAGGGCAGAGAGAGAGGGAGGCACAGAATCTGAAGCAGGCTCCAGGCTCTGAGCTGTCACCACAGAGCCTGACATGGGGCTCGAACTCACGATCTGTGAGATCATGACCTGAGGTGAAGTCGGACGCTTCACCGACTGAGCCACCCATGCGCCCCAATAATAAAATATACTTAAAACAAATTCTTCTGTTTCCTGTAGCAATTCCATCTCAGGAGGAGGTAGCTCTTCTAAAGTTTCAGAAGTAGACACTCTTCCTTGTAACAATGGAAGACTTTCAAAGGTTTTGCAATTTTCCTGACAAAAAGATGTGCTCATTCAGTATTGGCTTCAAATCTCCTCAGAGTTGAGAATGATTCTGCCAAAATCATAATGGAGCCACTTCTAAGTTCCTTAAAGAGATAGATAGGCAATGGAAATGGAATTCCAGCATTCTGTGGTGGGTAGAGCGGGAACTGGGGGTATAGCCTGGAACTTCATGTCTGAGCAGTCAATATGTTGACTAGATTCCCTGGGGAATCAAGATTTCTGGTTATTAAGATATTGTGTGTCTATAGCTATTCCAGGAATCCCATGTCACGATGGGTCTCTAATTTTTAGAACTAACTTTACACTTCATGATCAACCTATTTTACTATTGTAAAATAGTACTGGCACCACAGGAGGAGAATAAGGATGAGGCAGGGCTTTATGAAGCCTATGAAGTATCCAAAACGAGATGAAACTCCATAGACCAAGACGAGAAGATCCTATTTACTGCCTTTGGCTTCAAAGCCTCCCTGTTTTATGTGTGGACTGCTGCCCAAGTTTTTATTTGAAGAAAGGTTTTAATTGCCTAAGCATTTTTGACTACTGTTAATTAGTCCCAAACTTCATTTTAGTTTTTTAATTTTTTAATTTTCTTATTATTAAATTTTTTAAAATTTTTATTTGTTTTTGAGGGACAGAGACAGAATGTGAGTGGGGGAGAGACAGAGAGAGAGAGGGAGACACAGAATCCAAAGCAGGCTCCAGGCTCTGAGCTCTCAGCACAGAGCCTGATGCAGGGCTCGAACTCATGATCTGTGAGATCATGACCTGAGTGTAGTCTGTTGCCCAACTGACTGAGCCACCCAGGTGCCCCCAAAACTTCATTTTAAAGGGGAATAGTAATGGAGCCACATGAGAACCCATGTCTATTTTTTTTTTAATTTTTTAATGTTTATTTATTTATTTTGAGACAGAGAGCATGAGCAGGGGAGGGGCAGAGAGAAAGGGAGGGAGAGAGAATCATAAGCAGGCTCTGCACTGTCAGCATAGAGCCCAATGCAGGGCTTGAACTCAAGAACTGTGAGCTGAACTCAGGAACCTTGAGCTTGAACTCAAGAACCTGAGCTGAAATCAAGAGTCAGATACTCAACCTAGTGAACCACCCAGGCGCCCTCCACCCCTGTGTTTACTTATTTTTAGACCAGAGATTGCTTCCCTCTCAGAGTCACTTATTTATACTGACATTTTATGAAGATTACTCAGCTCTCAAGGTAAATGTATATATTGAGTAACATTTGAATTTACAGTAAATTTACTTAAATTGGCATTCAGACTCAAAATAACATCTGAATTTCAAGCATTTTCCTCTATACTTATGTGTTCCCAATTATGTAATGATGTGATACCAAGATTGGTAATCAAAAATCCTTAAATCCCCAAAATGGTTTCAATTCTTTTTTCCTCCATGGTTGCCTCTGTGCTAGCATTGTGAGTGAGAGTCTTCCAAGAGGATGAGAAAAGTAATTTCATGAAGACATAGTGTCTGATAGAAGATATTTGTTATAATGATCATCTAAAGCAGATTTCCAGCTCAATCGTCCTTGATCGATGTGTATAGAACATTATTCAGGAAATTGCTTGTTTGGGAGATTGTAAAGGAAACAAAAGATAAAGACCTGTAAATGAGAAAATGTGAAAATTCTGATCAAAGGCAGACACTTTTTTAAAATAGCCAAGGCAGCAGAACAGTAAAGAGAGCTATGTCAGGGCTCTTTGAACCACCCTGGCAGAAGGGGCCAGGCCGTCTTCGTTACACAGCATCATTCTTGTTTCCTCCTCAGGGTGCTGACTGATAACTGAAGTTATGTTATTGATTTTGCATCTCCCTACAGAATATGCCTCAGAAAAATGGGAATATTGTTGATCTGTTTATTGTTTTATTTTCTGAAAGTAGAATAATCCTTGACACATACATGGGCACTTAATAAATGCTTACTGGGTGGATGGTTGGAAGGATGGTTGGATGGATGGATGGATGGATGGATGGATAGGTAGATGAGTAGATAGATGGATGGAGAGATAGATAAAATATGTGAACTGAACCTAAGAAATAATCAGAATTGGGTAGATCTATTTTTTTTGTTTATTTATTTTTGAGAAAGAGATAAAGAGACAGAGCATGAGCAGGGGAGGGACAGAGAGAGAGAGACGGAGACATAGAATCCCAAGCAAGCTCCAGGCTCTGAACTGTCAGCACAGAGCCTGACGCAGAGCTCGAACTTGCCAACCATGAGATCATGAGCTGAGCTGAAGTTGGAAGCTTAACTGACTGAGCCACCCAGGTGCCCCCTGGGTAGATCTATTTTGATAAAAAACAATTTTCTGGAACATAGAATTTGAAATTTAGATGTTGTATGCAAGCAATAAATAAAATTGGAATACGGAGTTATAAAATTAAATAACCACACAGTCAGGCTGCCGTGCTGAGGTTAAATTCAATGAGATGATCACCAGGGAGGCCAAAACTTTCTCTATTACAGGGCACCATCTTATTTTCACTTTTAATGGCATTTTTCTTCATCTGAACCTATTATTTTTCACTTTTTTGCTAAAAAGGAAAACTCAAAAAATTACAAATGTGTTTTTAAAAGTAAAGAATTTAATATTGTGTTTAATAAAAATGTCCTAAGTTAGATTAAAACTTTTTCTCTCCCCTTGTAAAGTGCTTCCTAACTTCTGCAATGTTTTCATTATGCTCTGTCTTTCCTTTCTTCAAACCACTTTCATAAATTCCACAGAATGAGAAGCTGTCCATCCAAGCCTTTGGTCCTGTTTTGTCATGTTCCATAAAAGTTATGGTTTGCGATTTTTTTTGTGATGTCAGAGTCTAATCAACTATAACATGGACTGAACAGTCAGCCTTTACTGTGGGCACACTTTATACACTTGTGGAAAGTCAGTGTAATAGATTTGACATTGCAAGCTCACTTGGTGTTTATCATTTATGAAGGACACATATTTCAGCGCTCAAAGCCTCAAAGTAACATAGGGTTCACCCTTCGCTATGGTCTTAATGCATACATATGCTTGTCTTGAGCCAACATGAACCCCCCTCAAAAGAAGAGGCTACACAGATTAAAACTTCCTAGTATAGCTTCTCTAATGGCTTGCACATTTAGAATGGCAAAGCTCTAATTTTGAACAATAATAGCCTCCCTGTAGCATCTCATGAAGTCTGTGGCTTCATTCCTCCGTGAAGGCTTGTAGCTATCAGTTTGGCAAGAATCAAAGTCCAAAGCTCCAACTGCTACCTGCTTCTGACTCCAGGAACTTCTGTCCCCTCCCCATATGGCTTGATCCTACATCCCTCAAGGGGACATTGGGCCAACCTTCAAATCTTCACACTCTCAGGGGCAAATGACAGCAATGTACCTGGCTCATTTCTCAGGGGGGTCAAGAGGAAAACTAAGAAGAATTTTGTGTTGATATACCCATATTTTTTCATGTCTATTTTCCTCTCTAAACTTTTAGTAGTATATTTTTATGTGTGCTGAGTATGAGATTAAAAATTCCTTTAATCTTAAAGCAAGTATGGTCCCTGAATCCCTTTTTGATTACAGGGTTCCCGGCAGCATTTGTTGCAGCCTGGGCTGTGGCGCGAGCAACTCTGGCTGACGCAAGGTGAGTGAAAAAGAAGAGGTAAAGAGAGAGCCTAAAATTTCCTAAGACTCAGTCTTCCTGCCTGGAATTTACACTGGCTGCTGTTGTGGACCACATTTCCTTTTATGGACATCATGTAGGAAATTACCTTGGTGGAATTATAGCCTTTGATACATTACCAGCAAGCTATCCATCCCAGAGGTCTTGGGACAGAAAGACTCACAGACCAGATTAGGATGCTTGACCTCTCTGGTTTGTAATATCATTTTAAAACATATTGTAAGAATTCAAGGGGAAGGAGATAGGTAAGTTAACATGCTTAAGATAATGGTGCAAGCATGTGGAAGGATCGCACCACATGAGTCATGGGACAGGCAATATTCAGATCTCCTCTCTCAATCTGTCCATGTCAGCCGTCCCCACTTGATGGTGTGGTTTTGAAGACCAGAGATGTGGTTGCAGCAAGGAGACCCACAGACAGAAGGTGCCCTGGGCCAATGACACACAATTGCTTTCTCGTATTGATGAGAAGAAAGTATACTTGTTCATAGTTATAGCTGGCCAGTTAGCCTGCTAAACAGCTTTGGGTTTTATTTGTGTTCCTTGGGCAAAAAATACATGGGCACGGGTTTCACCAATCAGTGGTGGAATTAAGATGTCAAGGATATTGAGCACTTCCTGTCTATCAGGGGTATTTTGTGTCTCATATATATGGTGTATCATGAATATATAGTGCCCAGTTATACTTATGTTTAACATGCATGGGCTCCACTTATTACATACTTATCTCTATTTGATGCAAACTATGGGTTTCATCCAACCCGTTTGGGGTTTTTTGGTCTTTTATAGCATAATTAAATGTTTTCAAAAAATAAATGCACATTGGAAGTGATTCACTAGGATTACCAAGTAGCCTGGGGCTAATTTGAAGTACAATTTTATTATTATTATTATTTATTATTATTAATATTTAATGTTTATTTGAGAGAGAGAGAGCAAGTGTGTGCGAGTGCATGAGGGAGGGGCAGAGAGAGAGGAAGACAGAGGATCTGAAGCAGGCTATGTGCTGACAGCAGTGAGCCTAATGTGGAACTTGAACTCATGAACTATGAGATCGTGACTTGAGCTGAATGAAGTCCAATGCTTAATCAACTGAGCCATGCAGGTGCCCCTGAAGTAGCATTTTAAAGTACAGTGCAGTGATGGTGAATGATGGTAAAAGACCTTATTTTTAGACTTACACAGACCTGAGTTCAAATCTTGGTTTAGCTGCTGTTAGCTTCAAGACCATGGGAAACACACATGACCTCTTTGTACATCCGTTTCTTAATATAAAACAGAGATAATAATGTATACATGACATTAATACAGACAAAACGCTTAGCACAGCCTGGTAGCTGACAGGCACTAAATGCGGACATAATGAGGAAGGGTTCAGGTGCAGGTAACTCACAGGCCTGTTCTACCACTTGTTGGTCTGTGACAACAGATGTACTACCTGGCCTCTTTCATCAATGAAGTGCAGGTAAAATGAATATTACTCTTCACGGCATTGTTGTAAGATTGAATGGGAATGTATGTAAAATACCTAGGGTTTTGGAATAGAGTTTGGAATAGTAAGTACTAAATACTTATTAGCAAGTATTATTCCCTTATTTCATTAATTTATACCTATATGTAATGTCTGACCAAAAATAATGTTTTTGTTATGTTATTCCATTAGAAAGCAGGACTTATGTTTTCATTAATCCTAACTGATGGTATTTATCCTATCAAGCCAGCGGAGCCTTGATTCTGCTAAAGTTAGAGCTTAAAAATGAAGCTGGAGGGGCGCCTGGGTGGCGCAGTCGGTTAAGCGTCCGACTTCAGCCAGGTCACGATCTCGCGGTCCGTGAGTTCGAGCCCCGCGTCGGGCTCTGGGCTCTGAGCCTGTTTCCGATTCTGTGTCTCCCTCTCTCTCTGCCCCTCCCCCGTTCATGCTCTGTCTCTCTCTGTCCCAAAAATAAATAAACGTTGGAAAAAAAAATTAAAAAAAAAAAATAAAATATGAAGCTGGAGAAGAGATGGGGGCCACATCTTCCAGATCTTTATAGGTTACATTAGGATGGTTGTTTTCTTTTTTTTTCCTTTCAGTGACAATGACAACAGATTTGCATTTTATAAAGATCATTACCAGCATGAAGGGAAAAATGGGAGAAAAGTAATAATAAAGATGACAGCTAGCATTTTTTAAAAAAATTATTTACTTATTTTGAGGGGAGTGGGGAGAGGGGCAGAGAGAGAGAGGGAGAGAGAGAATCCTAAGCAGTTTCCATGTTAGGGTGAGCCCAATGCAGGGCTCGATCTCACAAATCGTGACATCATGACACGAGCTGAAATCAGCAGTCAGATGCTTAACTGACTGAGCCACCTAGGCACTCCAGTAGCTAGCATTTTTGAATGATACCCACATTCCAGGCACTTTCTAAGGGTTCTGTAACTATTAGTTTAATTGAACTTCATAACAACTCTATGAGACTGAGGCCAGAATAGTTGTACCCAACATTGCACAGCCACAAGTGGTAGAGAAGGAATTTGTCTAGACAGTCGGGCTCCAGAGGCTCTCAATAAATACCATGAGCAGAGTAGATGTTTCTTTTAAGACTAGTGGTATTTTTATTTTCTGTGGGGGAGGAGTGTTGTAGAGGGATTCCTTTTACATTATCACTGACAGCTGCTCACCCTTCAGTTGCTTCAACACCTCTGGTAATGAGGGATGCAGAGGGGACAATGCCCATTGTACCCTGGGCAGTTTTTCATGCCTTCATTATATCTGCGTTTTGTCCTTCTACCACTTGTAGTTCTATTCTCTAAATCAGAAATAATTCATCGCCTATGATGGACTTTTTAATAGTTCACATTTTTTTGCAAGGTATGAGCTCATGCTGGGGCATCGGTGTTGTATGTAAACATACAGAGCTATTTACTAGCACGTGTTTCTCTCATTCACATGATACGATTAAATCTACATTTCATGGTGTTCAGAAAGGAAAACCATAACTACAAGTAGTCTGCAACTTCAGTATGTTTTGAACTCACTATCCCACCATGTAAAATCTTCCTTATCAAATTCCTGTAGCATTTTGTATGTATATTCTGTTATTTTCCCTTTCTTACATACTATCTTATTTCTCTTGATGTGCATGTATAACTGTCAGATTTGAAAAAAAAAAAAAACCTATGAATTACAAAGGGGTAGGAGTGAATGTCTCTGTTTTATAATAGAGAACTCTTCAATGCTTGCTGATCAGTTGTTATGGATCTATTTGGCCACTTTCCTCCATTTGCTAAGTGTCCCTTGAGCAAGATAAAGTCTGACTCGATGCAAACTGTGAGTTACCAGGAGATGCATTTTCTCGTCCGTTTGTTAATTGTGGCTATTTCCCTTAGCCTCAGACTTCCCATTTGTAAAATGAAAATATTCTTGGTGATGAGTAAGGTTGTGAGTCTGCAGGGGGTAGATTTGAAAATCAGATGAGAGCCCGTTTATGAAAGGGCTTTGCAAACTCCAACTTCTATGCAAACATTAAATTTGCTAATAATTGAGGGTTAATGTTATCAGCATTATCATTATTGCTATATGTATACGATGATACTGGAAATGTCAAAGAAAACTTACAGTGTCTGCTATTTGATTTCTTGCGGGGTGGGTTGAGTCAGCAAAGAGGTACTAAATAATGCTAAATAATTTTACCCTGAGATGTGTAACCATATAAATTAGATTCGGAATTTTAGAGAAAATAGATCCTAAGGTATTTTTTCGTTCAATCCTCTCATTTGAGAGATGAATAAAATGCCTCCCAGAGACATCAGGTTACATCTCCAAAACCTACGGTCAGCCTGTAGCAATTTTGACTCATTCATCGGTTCAACAGATATTCCAAGCCTTGAGCATAGAAAGCAAGCAAAAATATTCACAATGCATTTTATATTGAATTAGATAATTAGTTTTCTTAGCGATCTTTTATACTTTCTTGAAAATCATAAACTGAATCATACACCATTAACAGTCATATGTATTTTTTTTTTAAGAAAAAAAGAATTATACGTCTATTGTTTTTGAGGCAAAACATCCTTTAGGTACACAATATTTCAAAAAGTACAACTGATACTGAATATTGCTCTGAAACAGTTGAATTAATGCCAAAAAATTAAATATAAGTTAGATCATGTGACTCCTCTGTGCAAAACATTTATTCCTGCCTTACTCAGAATAAAATTTTGAATTTTATAGTGTCCTGATCTGAACGTGATAATTGGGTTAAGGGGTCAGTTTATATTTATTTTGCATATAAAATAAAACTGTATTATCACATACATAGCATGATTTCAAAGTTGCCTAACTTGATTTTTCATGAAATTCAGCTTGTCTCTGGATAGAAAGTTTTTGTGGGTTTTCTTGAGGGTAATCTGACCTACAGAGAGTGCTCTGCCACAAAGTTCAGCTTTGGAGCCAGCTTGGGGCATCCTCAAAGGATGAATGGGATCTCTGCTCCTGTCTCTAATATTTGAGATTCTTCTTTTTTCTAATCTGGCCTTCCAAAGCTAGAACTCTGATTTTCTCTGTAGCCTTGCCTATTAGAGGTAAGCCGACCAGACTCAGTTTTGGAAGATCCTCTAAATGCTACTGAATACACAAAAGAAGTCTTACAGTTCTAAAATTCTATCAAGTTATTTGGCTAAGCTAGGGTAAGAAAATTGAGTAGTTTTGATTGGACAAATGAGCTTAAAAAGTGAGTATATTTGTTTCTCTTTATTTTTACTTAATGAAAGCAACCCCCCCCTCCCCATTAGCTACCTTATTACCTTCTCCCTGCTCATTCAAAGGAGATGAGATGCCAACAGGCAAGGTGGGACCCAGTGGTGCAAAGAACCAAGAACGATAGCTTCTACCATTTCGAGGAAATCTGCATGGTTCCCAGGGCTTCTGCACTTCCCCTGCTCTTGTCACATTGTGAGTTGTGGGTACAATGTGCTGTTCGGTCAGCCGACTCCCTGGATCTGTTCTGGCAGAACAGTGCCTCTCCTATTCCCGGTTCTGGCTCCAGGAAGTCCTAGTTCCTAGTTTCTAGTCAGACCCTTGTGCCTCATGCTCACTACTCAGAACTGCATTTTTAGTTACATTCATTTCCGCATTTTTGAGAGTGTTAAAATTTAATTTGTGAAGTCTGAACAGAGGGTAGTTTCTGAGCCATGTTAACAAACACAGCATGAGCTGGGACATTGAGGAATGAATGAATGAAAAGCAAGGATTAATAGTGTTTTCTTAAAAAAAAAATCTGACATCTCAGTTGCCTTTCATATCAAAGGGTGAATTTGAAACTTTGACATTGAAAATTATCAAAGTCAAGTTTTTCCTGTTTCCAGAGGTAGCTGGTTTTGACCTAGTTCCAAATAGAAGTATTTTATAGAGCTGCAATTGTACAACTGAACTGAAGTGTGTTAGGAGACACCGTGATGAAATGTCATTGAGGCAAAGAAAGAAGATTGTGGAGATATTACCAAAAGTCAAAGCAAAAAGAAAATTTACAGAATTCAAGAACTTTGCAGCTAGTGAATCAGTGTTCAATTTATATTCATACAATATATGCCACTTTCCATTTAGTAGGAAGCGTTTTTCGGGTAGCGTGATAGACATTCTGCACAACTCAGTCACGCTTATCTTTCCTGTATGGTTGAATAACGTGAAAAATACATGCATGCAAATAATGCTAGGAAAGGCTTAATAATGTGCGAGTGCAAAATCTCCCTGTCTTTGATTTCCATGTTATTCAAACTTCAAGTCCATTGATTCTGCAGATTGCAGTGTATCAGGGTCAGGATTATACTTTGGTCTTGGGGTCTAGTTGATTCTACTGTGGTATATCTTTCTAATGGAATGCTGTGCTACTGAGCTGTCTTGGTACCGATAGGAAAAGAAATAAAAAATGTACTGTTAAAAGGAAAGAGCCAGTTGCAGAACAGAGTATACATTGCACTTTTCATAGGGTAGGGGAAAATAAGATATAATGTTTGGATTTGAATATGCATAAGAAAACACTAGAAACATATACAATAAAGTAATAAAAGATGTGATGTATACGGAGAGAGATGGGCAGAGGAAAATAGGAAGATGGGAAGAACTGAGATGTCTCAATGGCTGTCTTTTCATATAGTTTGATTTTTCAAATGGGAATGTATCACCTGTATGAAAATGTTAAAATTTAAAACTATATGGTCATTACATATATACTGAAAATGTTTTACCTTCAAGAGGTAGTTGAAATTGCTTTGTATTATCCATAACTTATTCATTAATTTAAAAGTGACTTTTTGATAAGTTTATCATCTAGAATTAAAAAATTATCCTTATATCCTTAATATTTTTTATATAATTTCATTTATTGTCCCTACAACTGATGCTAGGTTTTGTCTAAGGAGAGAAAACCCAAGAAAGAAGCTTTTAGTTATGTATCTTTAATGTATAAAAACTGTTTAAAGTGCTACATTAAAGTTTCAAGCAGAATTAGTTTTTCTCAACGCTGTTCCATTTATTCCAATTTCACCCAATCCCAAACCAGCCTGGGTGAGACTGAGTGAACTTACTTTCGATTCAATTCAATCCAAAAATATTTGTCAACTACCTACATGCTCCATATTATTCTAGGCACTTATACTACATCAGAAAATAAGAAAAACGTTCCCTGTTCATGTAGAAACTAAATTCTAGTTGGGATGGCAGTTGAGCAGAAGATAAACATAACAAATAGGTAAATCATATAGTGTTTTTATCAAGTACTGCTAAAAACAGGCTTTTTACAGTCAAAGGTAAAATCATGGATTTTATGCTAATGTAAAATGAGCGTTGTCAAAGATCTTTAATTCACTAATTAATGAGGGAACGAGTAAGATGTTATAACTGGTTCAAAGAAGAAATATAGGAATCACACGCTTATATTTAGCAAAATGAACACTGAATAAATTTATAAATACATGCAAAAATTCAGTCTTCATAAGGCAATAATCAATCATATTCCACCAAACACAACTAGTTTTCATTTCTATGTATAAAAATCACTTGCTTCTAGTTTTCTAACGCATATCTGTCAACAAGGATCATTTGCATTACTGTCAGTTTTTAATGTTTATTTTTGAGAGAGAAAGAGCATGAGCAGGGGAGAGACAGAGAGAGAGGGAGACACAGAATTCAAAGCAGGCTCCAGGCTCTGAGCTGTCAGCACAGAGCCCAGCTTGGGACTCGGACTCACGAACTGCGAGAGCCGGTAACGTGAGCCAAAGTTGGATGCTTAACTGATTGAGCCACCCACTGTCAGCTTTTTATTGCATTTCGATGGATAAGAATGATTCACATTATTGTCAGTATTCTACAGCATGTGGAGTTACAGAATTGCTGGAACTTTCGGAAGTGAGAAGACTTTCTCATTCCAGTGATAAGAAAATGAAGTATCAGGTGTACCACATTTAGAAGACAATAATTTTTTGTGGTTCTGGAACTGTGGTTTTGACTCTTGTTGATATAAAATTAAACAATATTTATAATGCTCCACAGTTCATCGTATGGAAACCAAGACCCATTACACATTTTTTCACTAGTTTGGGTATTTAATGAGATGTGTGTGTGTGTGTCTACTTATCTTTCAATCAAAAGCTTGGGACGGGGGGGAGGGGGGTGCGCCTGGGTGGCTCAGTTGGTTAAACATCCAACTTTGGCTCAGCTCATGATCTCACAGTTGGTGAGTTCAAGCCCCACATCAGGCTCTATGCTGATAACTCAGAGCCTGGAGCCTGCTTCAGATTTGTGTCTCCCTCTCTCTCTCTGCCCCTCCCCTGCTTGCATTCTGTCTCTCCCTCTCAAAAATAAATAAACATTAAAAAAAAAGCTTGGGACAGGAATGTTCAGTAAAACTTAAAATGCTACTTGGTTCTCACTGCCTATTTGCTTGTCAATTTATTCATGAAAATTCTTTTCATATCTCAGATGCTGGGAACTTAGTGCTGGAAACATCAAGTGGATTTATCAAGCTCCAATCTTAGCAGCTATCGGGGTGAGTGTAAAAAGCCTGTGTAGTAGAAAGAAAGGAATAGGATGCATAATTAAGTTGCTGCTAAAACTGAGAGAGAGTGTGTCTGTCTCTTTCTTCTACAAAGGTTTAGGAGACTCGCACATTATAGCAATAGCTGTTGGGAGAGTCTGGGCTAGGATCATACCAGTACTTGTGGCTGATGCTGAGATCTATGCAGAAAGCACAGACCTTGCTTTAATCAGCTAGCACATGGTTAAATTCCAGGGCTTCAAGATATCTGTGACCATTTACATGTTCAAGGAGTTGGAAGGTCCTAAAACTCTTCTTTCTTTACATCTGTTATATTATAGCTCCACTTTACTGTTCTGATCACCTGGTAGTAAGTAGGTCAGGAGGAGAGGACAAATAGTGGGAGAACAGAGGAATTACTGGGAGAAAGAAAAATGATAGGACGCTTCATTATAAAGCATTGACTAAACCTCTTCCTTGGCATAATGTCTTCCAGTAGTTAAGAGGATGCTATGTGGAGACATATTCCACAGAATCCTGTCTGATATGTAATAGAAAAAGACTGGAGTAGGCAACGTGTATTGCATGGACCTTATCTGCCTATAATATTTCACGGGTGTATTATATCTGTGTTGTGAAAGAAAACAAAGTTACACTTCTTTGTGTCTGACAAAACTCACCAAAATGTTTACTCTTGACTTTCCTTGAAGGCTTTATCACTTCTCTGTGGTTTGGTGAAGAAATTATACCATCTCATGTTTCTTGTGTTAATTCAAGATTATAAACATCTTAATACAATGACTTATGTTCCCATATTAACTGTGAAATCATTTGAAAGTAATGTAGGAGTCTAATTCTTAATGATTTTCTTTTTTTTTTGTCTTTCTTTGTTCTCCAGTTTCTTACTTTTCTCATTTTGTTTTCTGTAGCACAATGCATCACCCAGTTTGTCATTATGTTGCCACACTGGATACAGAGGGACAGCTATTAATGGGACTGAGGTTTTGTAGTATTTATCCAGACTCAGAGAAAAGCTTGTTTATCTCATAGGAAAAATGCAGAAAGAAAAATAGAAAAGATTGAAAAGGACTCTTCATTTCAAAAGCCCATTGGTGTAAGTGCTTATGGGGGAAATAAAATGTAGAACACTTTTAGAGAAGCCGGTTTGTATTCTTGAGAAAACAGCATATTAGCAAAGTAGAACAGATTCTATGTCATAGGAGAAGCTATAAACGGACTGTGGGTAAATGAATGAACGACTTACATTTATAAACTCTTATCATTTAATTTTAATTTTAATGAAGGGCTGCTTTCTTAGTCTGGGGATAAACCACCCCATCAAACCATTTGGTGATAAACTATATCCCTGGGGGAACATGAATGAAGTTAAAGATACAAGTTCACTTTATGAAGTAAGGTCTGGTGTTTACCACTCTGATTTCCCTTTTATCCTCTAATACTCTATCCTCATCTGTGCTTCCCCACCTTTCATTTTCTTTCCTCCTAGTTCCTCCTCTACTGGGTTCGCTCATCCATCACTTACCATCCTCTTTTTAAGGGGTCTTCTTACTTTTAGTGTCTTCAGTGCTTTGTACTAGAATTGTGAAATAAGATATAATTAAACATTATATGAAAATGTAGGTGAGTTTAAGAACATCAAGTGTGAGTTTTCATTTGCTGGAAAGAAAAGACCTGTGAAAAGTCTAAGAGATCCTCGCAAAATTAATAACTGAAGCAGAGGACAGTGGAGAAAAGTAAATCATAGGACGTCTTCCATTGAAACCGTTGATTTAAAATTTTTTAAATGTTTATTTATATTTTAGAGAGAGAAAGAGAGAGAGAGCGCACAAGCAGGGGAGGGGCAGAGACAGAGGGAGATGCAGAATCCAAAGCAGGCTCCAGGCTGTCAGCACAGAGCCTGACCAGGGGCTCCAACTCACAAACTGTGAGATCATGACCTGATCTGGGAACGCTTAACTGACTGGGACAAAGTGGGATGCTTAACCAACTGAGCCACCCAGGCACCCCCAAAACCATTGATTTTTTAGCCAAAGCTTTGTGTTTTTGTGTTTGTTTGTTTGCAGATCTTAGTTACATTGTCAACATGGATGAGAAGTTTATTTGCTGAGGTTTCTAAACTGAAAAGTAAAACAGTAAAGTTAGGTGATTATGGAGGTTCTTAGAAGATTCCCCATTGGGGAAAGAGAGCTAGAAATGATGGTACACTCAATGCATTTTGAAGAAAACTTAGGGGGAAGCCACTTTCATATTCTCGAACTAAAATTATGACAGCTCCAAAGCAAGAATTCTTAAATGTTTTTCCAATATCACAACACCCATTTTTTCTCATGAATCAGAGAAGATTCAAGAGAAGCTTTGTGTTCTTTGAGCGACCATTTTGTTTTCGTATTACAATTCAGTTATCACAGTTCCCTTTAAGATCCTCTCATTTCACTGTAGAACCAGTCTGTAAGGAAAGAGGTGTGCCTGAACCTTGTCCTCGTGTTCTGAGTGATAAGGCTCCCTCCTCTCAGCTCCTCAGTGTCCTGAAGCTGGGAAGCATGACAAATAACAGCAAACACTGCCCAGTGCTTACCTTGCAGTGGGCACTGTTTTAAGTGCTTTATTTACATAGATTTATCTAATCTTCCAGAAGAGGAAACTGCCCGAGGTCACACAGCTAGTAAGTGATGGAGTAAGTGGCTAGTAAGTGGGGATTCTAACTTCAGGCCCACTGTCTCTACCCAATGAACTCCTTGCACGTATAATAAAATCTAACGTTGCTGATAGTCTAGAGAAGCCCCCGGTCACTAGTGCCTGCACCATTTACATGCAGTACCTCAGCCACATTGTTTTCCTTTCAGATCCTTGAACTTGTCCACCTCTGCCTCCTCAGGGCTTTCCCACATTCTGCTCTGTACCCCTGGAAGGTGGGGATGTGCTTTCTTCCGTTCCTCACTTTAAATGCCACTTCTTCATTGTGGCCTCCTTGATGCCTCCAGTCTAAATTAGGTCACACCTGTCATAACCCACAGAGCAAGGTGAGGTTTTTTTCCTTCTCAAGATCATCACAATGTATGAAGCTCCTAATTGTTGAGCGTCCATCTTGCCCTCTAAGCTGCAAGGATTATGTGATCAAGAACCATATTTTCCCTAAAATTCTATATTTCTAGTGCCTAGCAGGTTTCCTGGTGCAGAGTGGCCACTCAATAAATATTTGTTGAAAAAATAAAACTGTGTGTGAAGTAGATGCCCTGGGGAACTGGTAAGAGGGAAGAAGTGAAATGAGAGCACCAAGCAAAGTGCTGTGTAATTTCAGAACCTCTGCATTTCCTGTAACCTTTTCATTTCCAGAGAAGGTAACTAGAGTCCACACAGATAAAGGTCACAGATAGTGTGACAAAATAAGACTAAGCACGGTTTTGACCATGTTCTTGTCACTTGCACTCCAAAACGTGCCAAGATTGTTTCTTGAATTTATGGGAAAAAGGTCTTTCAATTTTTAAGGCAATATTTATAGTTTTTACATATTAACTTTGGAGAAAATATTTGTTTTTCAAACTTGCATTGCATGTGGCAGGGTTTTATGTAATTAGATATGCTCCATATACGCTCTCAGAAATTATTTGCCAAGAATTTTAAATATAGGTTGGATCCCTCACTTAATTCTGGCTTTGGATACTGGAATAGCAGAGATTCTATTAATTGGAATTTTGTGTATCTGGGAGTAAAATCTGGGAGTAAATGTAATCAGAAGTTCTAAGCTATATATAAAGCAAACTGAATTTAAGAGAACGTAAGAGTTTATAGAGAATAAGCATTTATAGGTTCTAACTTGAAGAAGTCATATCGAGAGAATCGAATTTTAGAGACTTTAGTATAAATTTAGGATGAACCACTGTATTTTGGAATCACACAATCTAAAATTATAGCACTGTTGTTGGCTTTGTTTTATTCACAAGTGTTAAAACCATGTTTAAGAGAACATCAGAAAACATTAGAAAACATTCATTTTTTTTGTTCTGAAAATAAACATCTGCCAATATAACAATTTGTTATTCACCTGCAACACGCTGTTGATTTGAGGATGATTAAGAAAAAATTCTTCTGTATAACATCAAACTCTGAGAGGAATACTTCCTGGTCGACAGCAGAGACGGAGCGTTGTTTTGGTGCTGGGCCTTCCAGAACATCGATGGAAGGAAGAAGAGGGCACGCAGGGCAGCATGGTCTGGAAGAAGTGGTAAAGGTTTAGTTGGCGGATGTAATCCATCCTGACCAAGGGGGCCACCGCCCCCGGAAACAGGAGGATCTACATTCACACAGGAGGCTAAGGGGCAGACTCCTAACCCTGGAGATGCTGCAGGGCAAGTGTGCTCGTGGCAAGCTCCCAAGGCAAAGAAGGATGGGCCAGGTCAAACAAAGTCCATATTCTTCCCACATTTGCTCATTAAATACTCAGGTTTGTCTCCTTCAGGGCTGGAGAGAGTGAAGGGGAGAACGGAAGTGCACGTCAGTTGAGCAGCGCCCCCTGGCAGGGACAATCGGGACCAGGAGGAAGCACCCCTCCCCCGCATGTGTCCAAAGGCAGAGATGAAAATTGCAGGGGCCCAGAGATGGGTTTATAGAGGTTTTACAACAGTGGGCTTTCCTATACATAAATTCTGACTTCTTTCTCTGAGCATGTCTTTTATGATAGACACATAGAAGTGAACACTCTACATGAAAGGGGGATATGCTGATTTCCCAGAATATAACTAGGGCTTGGAGAGGGCATATCTCACGCAATTATTCATTCACTCATTTAACAAGTCCCGATTAAACACCGAGAACATTGCGGGTGCTGGGTGAGGCAATGGCGGTGATACGGTGGGGCGACATACACCAGTTCCTCCTGAAGCTTAAGCAGAGTGGGTGAGGCAAACATTTAAACGTGACAAGTGCTGGGGTGAGGTTGGAACAGCTTCCGAGGAAAGCTGACATTCAGCCTGAAGCCTAGGAAAATGAGCTACCCTCGTGAGGGAGGGGGGGCAGAGTGAGTGAGAGAAGGATCCCAGCCAAGAGGGCTCTGGGAACAAAGTCTCAGAGATAGCCTGCGGGGCCAGAGGTTTCCAGGCTGAAGTTTTGAGTTCTTTGTTTTAATTCATCTGTGCTTCACTTTGAATCCATCTTTAAATTTTTAATTGAGAGAGAATCTAATGTTTACATTTGCATTATTTAAAAACCACATTTGCATAAAATCGATTCTATATGTGACTGGTTTTAATGCTGACGAGGGGGTCATTTTATTCACGTTCTCGGTTTTGGTTTTTTTCTTTGTTTTATCTGTGCTTTGCCTGAAGTAGACCTTTAAGCAAAATTTTACAAGAGGTTCACATGAGAGATGCGAGGACTCTCTAATTTTCTCTTAGAATCGTGTCTTCATCTTCTAAAATAAAATTGAAGAATCTCACCAGGACGCTTCTTCTTGGTCTCGTTCTTTTATCATTCCATTTGCCCCGCGTATAACGTCATTTTTCTGTCTACAGGCTCGGATCTTCCTTTGGCGCAGGGACTTCTCCCTCTTATATTTTTATTGGTTTGTTCAATTTATCATTATCTTTTCTGCAGAAGGAGAAATAAATCTGCATGATAACTTGCAATTCCCTGTCGTCCACACAGGCACCTCTCCCCTCATTGTGTGGGTGGTTCTCTCTGTTCTTTACCTCCGGTGTGGGAAGCATCTTCAGTGGTCTTCCACATTGCTGGATGTGTTCTCCTGCTTTGTTAGATCTGCTGTTTGCTGTTTCGAATACTGATTTTAAGACTTGATTATATCTTATTTTATTTAATTAATTAATTTATTAAAAAAATTTTTTTAATGTTTATTTATTTTTTGAGACACACACACACACACACACACACACACACACACACACATGCACACACAGTCAGGGATGAGTGGGGGAGGGACTGAGAGAGAGAGAGACACACACACACACAGAATCCGAAACAGGCTCCAGGCTCTGAGCCGTCAGCACAGAGGCTGACTTGGGGCTCGAGCTCATGAAACGTAAGATCATGACCTGAGCAGAAGTCAGATGCTTAACCGACGGAGCCATCCAGGCTCCCCAAACTTGATTATAGTTTAGATTCTTTACAATCTTTTCTTAATCCACCCTGCTCTTTAAGTTTCTGTCTCCATCTCAATCTGCGGTAACTCAACTCTATTTTACGGACAGTACGGTGCAGTGGTTGAGTGCATGCTATTGCGTCCAGGCGGCAAGGGCCTCAGGAGGCCTCTGTCACGTGCTGGCTGTGTGACTGGGAATAATTTGTGTAAACTGTTACTCAGGTTCCTCATCTGTAAAATGGGGCAATAATATGCCTATCTCCTGTGAAGACTGAGTCACTTTGCGTAATACACTTAAGTGGTCAATAACTTAGTTTCTAATTACCCTTTATTCTATACTTTCCTAAATTATTCACAGTAATTATTTGGAATGTCACCCAACTATTGTCGCAGGTATCGGCATATTTCGTTAGCTGATCTTTTAAGGCAGCACATTTTACTCAATCTTAGTTTTTCTTAATTCTTTCCATAATCCACTTCCTTGTCCTTAAATGCATCGTCTTAGTTATTAAACTGATGTATTGGATGTGTGTATTTTCTGTAGTCAAATTCTTGGGAATTTTCAGTATTTATTTAGTGTGGTCCGCTGGCCAATTCCTGGTCGTGAGCTTTTTAATATGGATGGAGTTTAAGGTTGGCCTGCCTGAAGCCATCTACAATTTTTCCTTTTCCAGGAACGGGAAATGACAAGTGATAGTCCCCAGTTGGCATTGCTTCCATAGCTATGCCAGCTTTAGTTCCTACCACTTCGTCCTTTAAGGGTAATTACACATCATCGCTTCTCACCAGTTTGACTCCCAGCTGCACTGTATCGCCTGGGGCTGAAGTCATAGGGAGAGTAGAATTAATGAGGCCTGACATGAGTGGCTGTTCACAAAGTAGCACTCATGTGACATCTGTGAGCAGCTCTCACCCTCTTATTGAAAAAGATTTTGTGTCTTAGGCACCGGCGTGGCTCAGTCGGTTGAGCATCTGACTTTGG